CCACGCCTCCCAGCAGCCTGCCGAGCTCCTCATCACTGCGGACAGCCAGCTGCAGGTGTCGGGGGACGATCTTGGTCCTTCTGCTGTCACGAGCCACATTTCCTGCCAGTTCCGGGATCTCAGTGGTCAGACACTCGAGCACAGCTGGCAAGGAGACGGGAATGCCTCCATGGAGCCTCCTTTTCAACTCATGAGATTTGGGGCTGTAGCGGAGATATTATTTGAGCTTTTGAGATGTTAATCAGCTGCTGCTGGTTGTATAAAAAAAAAAAAAACTTTTTGTCATGGATACGCATCATAACAAAAGTCCAAAACTAAAAAAGTTTCAGTAAAAATCCTTCCAGCTGCACAGCATCCAATACCAGAGGAAACAATCATCCAAAAAACATGATTTACATCCAGAAAAATAGGAATTAAAGTTTCCAAAAGCAAAATCTCAGAATGAAAGTAACAGAGCTGCTCCAACATGCAGCCAACTTGAGCGGCGCAATTCTAGAACCCCGCACTTCTGCCCTGGTTTTGTAATATTGTCAAAACAGACCTTATTTCAATCAATCATTTTAATTCTTGATTTTAATATTTTGTCAGTCATTACCTCTAGCTGCTGAAAATGAAAGCCAAAAACATTGGTCCCTGTTTTTCTGTTAGCAAAATACCTCAAACTGCCGAGTAGATTTTAAGGAAATTCAAAGTAATCTTTTGATGAACATATGTCAATAACTGTTCCGTTAAAACGTACTGTAGTAGTATCTGAGTGATCAAAGGTGGCGGGAAATATGCATTCCATCAAGAAATGCCTGGCCTTTAATTTGTTCTGTTTTGGTTTGTGAAAAGTTTGAAGTTTTATTTACCCGTGATGCTAATTTTCGGTTCGTCCGTCTTCAGAAAACGTTTTAATTTGAGATTGAAACAATTTCTACAATAAATACAGATTTGTACAAAAAGAGATTCCTCTTTTCCATTAAATATATTAATAAAAGTGAAAAAAAGGTAATACAAGAATCAACAATTCTTTAAATAATTGTGTTTGATATAATCCCAGCTTTATCATCATTTAGATTTCAGCAATGACTATAGAGGTTCTTTTAGAGCAAACATTAAAGTATTAACATTAAATTAAATGTAGATTAGTTATTGCAGCTCTTTATTACAATTTCACAATGCATGTTGTCAGAAAACAAGCTTTTAGCCATCACTGCAGCAGGACACTGACGACAGATTCAGATTTGTGCAGCAACAGAAGCCAACATAAGGATTTGTGATAATTCAAAGCTGAAATCTGACAACAGGGGAATTACAAAACTCCGTATGTCACAGAGGAAGCAATGTCAGCGCCATTACAAACGTCCCATTCATTATGATCCGAAGTGGGGAAGAGAGTTGAATCACTGAACACAGAACTGAAAAACTCAGGTGTTTGACAGAAACTGTAGTAGTTTAGGAACAGAAACTCTTAAAAACAAGAACCTGCCTCCATGTCCTTTTGTGTTAAACAAATGCATTAAAATTTTCTAACCCGAGCTCTGATTTGTCTAAACTTTCACAAGAAAATACGAGCAGCCCAAAGCAGAAACTTCTCTAGGAGAGGAAGGTCATAAAAGCAGTCATATGACTCCAATAAATCATGGTTGAGGGTTTCTGACCGACCTGTAACTCTGCAGGTTTGCAGAACCTCAGGTGATCTGTTCTTGTGGGAAGTGTCCTGGGCAAACATTCGCCTACAGTCACGGATGTGATGGAGGTTATAGCAACTCAATTAAACATTAGAAAGGAAACTCAAGGAGGAACTGAAAAACAGGAGTTGAGAACAGATACTTTATTCTAAATGAGGAGAAAACAGCAGAAAGTGTTCAGAACACCTATAAACATGAATATTGAAAAACTAAATGAGTTGACAGCAATGTAAAGCAAATTAACTATTAACTTTCCACCAGGTGAATGGCTCCGGCTGCTATCTACACTTCACTGAAATGAAGCAGCTGTGTGACACGGAGAGGCTTACATCAGCTTTAAACACTGAAAATATGCAGTTAAATGTTTCATTTAGCCACAAAAACACAAATCATCCCAGGTTACAACAGGATCTAGAACCAAGTTAAAATGGCCGTCATGTTGCATTTTGCTTTATATTCTTTTTTCCCCTCAAACATAATTCTTCATCACGACAAAGCAAAAACAGACTTCTAGGAGTTATTGGTAAAATTATTTATAGAATAAAAACTGAAATTCTTCCTAAAGAAAGGTTGGGCATTTTAAAAGTTCCTATTTTGGCCATACAGTAGATTTTTCCATTCTTTACCCTCAGATATAAAACTGTGTGACCCAAGGGCAGCAGCAGGGTTAATCTGCAACAGGAACTAAGATGAAAGGTGTCAAAAATAAGTAATAAGTAATATGTGTTGTCATCATTGTATAATCCCATACAATGGTGAAATAGGTTCTCTGCTAGCAGTGGGCAGCTGTAGGCACCAGGGGAGCAATTGGGAATTGGGTGTCTTGCTCAGAGACACCACGACATGTGGAAATGGCTGGGGATCGAACCTGGGACTTTCAGGTCCCAAGTCGGCTGACCTGCCCCTACCCGAGATGGCGTAGATGCAACAAAAAGGTTGTCTATTAAAAAACTAGTTCAATCAGGACTAGCCTAATAGTTTTAACAGTGCTGAAGATGTTCAGATGCTAATCATAGATAAATGTGAACACAATTCAACATTAAACTAAATAGCGAATATCTAAAAGTGACTAAGCTTGAGATAAAAATGTATTTTTGATAAGTTTGTTATGGGATGAAGGTGATGATTTATTCGTTTTAAAAGATCATGAACTGGGAAGACAAACACGATGCAAAACAAAAGCGATTATCAATAATGAGTTCAATATTCAATAACGGTGTATAAAGATAGTTAATGCACTCATTTAATGGTGATCATAAAAATGTGGCTACTAATTTGATCTAATGAGCAAGTGATCCAGAACTGGAAGACCTGACACTGGAAATAAATCCAAAATCTCATCAAATGGAATAAACTCCTATTTTGACTGTGAAACTGGATCATGATCAACTTTTAAAACTCATAATCCTATGAGGAGATCAGGAAGTTCTCCAAGAACAAACAAGTTTAAGGTTCACTGATGAAGCAAGTCTGAGACCTCACACTAATGCAGACTATCAACGGGAGCCAAATCGGCACAAAGAACCTGAGCTGATGGATTTTACACAACCCATTCAGACAAAAGCCAAAGAGGAAACATCTGCAGTCTGACATTACAAAAGCTCTTCTTCACCTGCAACATTAAAGGAAATGTTGCAGATAGAGATGTTCCTCAGTTTGATGGAAATCCTCAGAGCTTTTAGACATACTGTGGAAGACGGAGCCAGGATAGCCGACGGTTTGGACGAGAAACAGTTTACTTCAGAACAGCTGAGGAAAAATCATACAGAAAACTTTTTATAACTTTACTTACATTTTCCTCACGGAAATTATATTCAGATCTCCATTTCCTCCAGAAGCATTCTCAGAAATCTACTGCTGAACACTTGAAATATTTTAGTCTTTTGTTTCTTTAGGATTTCAGCTAGTTCCTTGTTAACTTTAGGCTTTGTTTATCAAAATTTATTTTTAAGTTACCATCTTGCCGATATTGGCTTGTGGATACCGTCTTGCCGATGTTAGCTTGTAGCTATCGTTGATAATATTCGCATGTAGCTACCATATTCCCGATGTTAGCTTGTTGCTATCGTCTTGCCGATGTTGGCTTGTGGATACCGTTTTGCCGATGTTGGCTTGAGGATACCATCTTGCCTATGTTGGCTTGAGGATACGTCTTGCCGATGTTGGCTTGTGGCTACAGTCTTGCCGATATTCGGTTGTGGCTACCGTCTTGCCGATATTCGGTTGTAGCTACCGTCTTGATATTAGCTTGTAGCTACCATCTTGATATTAGCTTGTAGCTAACATCTTGATATTAGCTTGTAGCTACAGTATTGCTAATATTAGCTTGTAGCTACAGTATTGCTAATATTAGCTTGTAGCTACCATCTTGCCAATATTCGGTTGTAGCTACCGTCTTGCCAATATTCGGTTGTAGCTACCTTATTGCCAATATTCGGTTGTAGCTACCGTCTTACAGATATTGGGTTATA